ATCCACAAAGGACAATTAATCCCTTCCTACAGGCTTCCCAAGTCACCATGCATGCCCCTTCTCTCTCCAGAGGTGGGTTAGACACCCCCCACTGCCATACTAAAAATGTTTATTTTATGTGGATAGGTGTTTTGCCAGTATGTATGCCTGTGCCTGGTGCCATGGAGGCCCAAGCGGTCATCATATCCCCCTGAACTGGTGTTACATGGATGGCTGTAAGCGGCCATGTTAGTGCTGGGAATCAAACCTAGAAAGGCAACTTAGGTTTTTAACCACTAAGCCATCTCACCAGCCCCCATGCTACTCATTAATCTTAATTATGTCTTAGGAACCTTTTGACTGCCTGAAAAATATGAGCATATTGTAAATCTCCACTCTTTGGGGGACTCACCTGGAGGGAGAGGAAGGGTTAGGGTACTTGACTAGAAAACACTGGCTCGGTGCATTTCAGTCAAACAGCTGTTTTTAAACCATTTTCTTCCATTTGTGCTACACTGGGGACTTTTTCTTAAATTATGGATTTTTCATTAAAATGACAGGAAGGTAGGACAAGGATGTGTTGGGAGGTTGGGAGGTATCAGGAAAAGTGATGGAGAGTTGGAGTGCATACAACCAATATATACTGCAAGAATGCATAAAACCATCGAAGAATACAAAATATTCTTCAAAAACGTCAAAATGTAGGGTTCTACCCAAAAAACATTGAAGTGCAATTTCCAATTTAAGTATGAGGGTATTCAGAGGCAAAATGGCCGAACTTCAGAATCTGATTCCTGATCCAGTGCAGACAAAGGGTAGCCCCAGACAGAAAGGGCCTCAGGGCCCCACTTAGCTACTGCTTGCTGCCTCCAAGGATTTCCTCTGAATAAAGGAGGACTGTGTTTTGAAAATAAAGCATATTTCTAGTTCTACCCCAGGGATGAAATATAGCTTGTTCTCCAAGTGTGAAATATAAAACTTCTCAGCCTAACTTGAGGATCTTCCACAGGGAGAATGACTCCATGCACCATGCCAGCTAATATTACCTTCTGGGACCCAAATAGCAGATGTTCTGAAATGCTGAGGTTTCTGGGGATAAACTGATTGATTGCTTGGACTTCAGTCCAAACTCTGACCACAGAACTCCAGGATGACCAAACAGACTGACTGTGTTGTTGTCACTAAAGCTTAGTGTCTTAGTCACTCTTCTCTGCTGTGAAGAGACACCATGACAAAAAAAAAAAAAAGCCTTTAACCGGGGACTTGCTTACAGTTTCAGAGGTTTAGTCCTTTCTACCATGATGGGGAGCATGACAACATCTAGGCAGTCACTAAAGCAGGAGCTGAGGGCTACATCCTGATGCACAGGCAGAGAGGAGGAGAAAGAGAGGGACACTGGGCTTGGCTTTTGAAACCTCAAAGCCCTCCCCCAGTGACACTCCTCCACCAAGGCCACACCTTCTAATCCTTCCAGAGTCCCACTCCCTGGTGACTAAGCATTCAAATATGTGAGCCTATGGGGCCATTCTAAGTCAAAGCACCACACCTGAGAAAGACGAATGGCAGCATCTCTGGAGGTCCCATTAACATGCCTGTGGATTAGTTATCATCAGCCCAGAATCCTCAGCTTCCACTTTCCCCAGTTATTACAGATGCAATGACAAACCTCCAACTAAACTTATCCTCGAAGTTTTCTTCTTACGAGTGAGCACGTCAAAACACTCCCTGAGCACTCGACTGTCTCCATTTGGCCTTCACAAAGGTGTCACAGGTACAGCAGACACACCCCTTAGAACACTGAAATGAAGACATTACACACTCTTAAATCTGCATTATCTAATGTTTAGGCGATGCTTTATTTTCTGCTACTTTGGACATGTCTCAGCCTGCCTTTCTTCAGACGTCTTGATAACTTCCTTTAAAATAAAGGAAAGGGAACTATTCCGCACGTACCAGTCTTTTGGCACTTCTTGTTGACAAGAACTAGTTTTAACATTTGTTCCTTGAGAATTTTGATTGTCAGAATGTAAATGGCACTCGGCCAGGAGAAACGAAGCTAAATTTCATAATAATTGCAAGGCAAGCTTTAGTGGCATCAGTGCCAGCCTCTCACTCCGTCCCCCTGCAACTCCAGAGCAAACCTATGACACCTCAGAGGGGACTCTGTTCCCATTGCCTGCCTACTCACACAGGTGCTGGCCTTCAGTGTCACCTTCTGGAGAGCCATTCCAGAAAAACAAACCTAGTAACTGCCTTGGAAAAGGTATTGACTTCTCTCATCTGTGAAAAACAACTTCCTTGGCTCTTCTTGACTCAAAAGGGTCTACACTCGATTTTTAGCAACTTCCCAATTATCCTTGCCCATTTTGTTGATCTTGCCACTGTAGCTCAATGCAGTGGCCATCCGCCCTCAGGTTCCATCTGATCTAGCCCATCAGCTGCCCTGCTCAGGCAGGCTGCTCACTCCTGCTGCAGCTTTTCTGACTTCTACAGTACCACACTGTCCAGTCCCTATCCCATCCCTGTTGGCTCTGCCAACACCACTTCACTCTGCTGGTGACATCTACCCTGGAATACCCTGCTTTCCCCTGTAAATGCCCTGACCCACCCCAAAGCATTCCAATGACAGCAGCCCCCACAGAGCAGGCACTCTCGCCTCTCTCCCTGAAATCCACCAGTTCCTTTTCATCTCATCAGGTCAAGACTAAGTGTAACCACTGCTTGTGTGCATCAACGTCTGTCCGTCTGCACTCTCCCCTCACTCCACTCGTCTCCAGCCTCTCCCTCCTGTTCAGGCAAACCTGTCATGCTTGCGTCCTAAGATCTCTGCTACCACTCCCGTCCCACTTTCTTCCCACAGGATTCCTTCTCTGTCGACAATGTCTGCCCAGGAGCCCTTTCTCAGTGAAGAAAGCCTTCCTGAAATCACCTCACACAGCACGCAGTACCCAACCCTTGCCTGCCTTGCAGACTTCCAAACTTCACGCTGCAGCATCAAACAAATTTCACTCATTCATCTCTTCTATATCTGTATCTTGAATGTTCCACAAATGGGGTTCTGCTTGATACTGTGCCATGAGCACCTACAACACTATCTGGCACATGGTGGGAATTCAATAAACACTTGGCGAATCAAAGAATCATAGTAATCAAATACAGATTTATATGAATTATCCGTGCAGGCAAGAAAGCTGGGAGAAGAGAACACTAAAGAACGGAAGGTTAAGAATGACCATACATGATGACAGAGATAAGCTCGTCAAAAAAGATACAGTTCAAAACTGACTATGGTGGTACAAGACTATAATCTAGAACTTGGAAGGCCAAGATAAGAGGATTGCCATGAGTTCCAGGCCAGTCAGGGATACCCTGACAAATACATACACACACGCATATACACATACATGCATAAATAACAAAAACCCTGCCTTACAGAAATAAGGACAAAAAGAGGGGCAGATAAATTCACAGTACAAATAATTAAAATTTTCTAATCCAAGCATGTTAACACATGCCTGTAATCTAGCACTCAGGAGTTTGAGGCAAAAGATCTGAAGGATAGCCGGGGCTACATAGCAAAATTCTACCTTAAAAATAAAAAAGCAAGCCGGGCAATGGTGGCGCATGCCTTTAATCCCAGCACTCGGGAGGCAGAGGCAGGCGGATCTCTGTGAGTTTGAGACCAGCCTGGTCTACAAAGCTAGTTCCAGGACAGGCTCCAAAGCCAGAGAAACCCTATCTCGAAAAACCAAAAAAAAAATAAAATAAAAATAAAAAAGCAAGGGAGAAGAGACAAACATCTACCTTTCACATGTTAAGAAGGGGGGGGGGATTTTAAATGTTTTTACTTAATTCAATATATCAGAAAGGTTATTTCAACATTTATTATTCATAAAACTTTAAATATTATGGGTTTTTTATTGTTGTCTTGTTTTATTTCTATTTTTAGTTTTTTTCAGATAGGGTCTCTTTATGTAGTCCTGACTGTACGGGAACTCACTATGTAGAATAGGCTGTCCCGGAACCCAAAGAGATATACTTGCCCCTTCCAAGGGCTGGGATTAAAGGCGTGCACCGCCATTCCCTATGATATGCTTGTTTTATATTAAATACTTGGAACTTACGCAGAACGCATCTCCAGCAGCACTACCATCTCAATGCTCAGGCACTACATGTGGGCAAGTGGCCATCATACTAGACAGCATTTTGATTTGGCCCAAATTAACCAACCCAGTAAAATGAGAACTACCTTAAATATCTACTCTTCGTTATTAACTGAAGAGTCCAAAAGAAGATTCTCAGGCAGCCTCGTGGTTTACTAGTCTTGTCAAAAAAGCTTCCAAGAATAGGACAGAAGAAATGGGGCCATTTCTGGGAAGTCACTGCTATCGAGATAACTGGCTGTGCTTTAAACTGGAAAGGCCAGGGTCCTTCCCCCTGCTCCCTGTGATTAAGAAACAAGTCCAGAAAGACTCTGTAATCTTATCGACATTAACGTAACAGAACCATTATTTTCAAATACAACTATCAGCACCATGTCCTCTAGACTGCCACGGATCTCAGGTTAACCAAAGCCCACCCCGCGTGGAAAGACACTCTCAGAGCCACAGCTGACCTTCCGCGTGTTAGAGCAACAGCCTCACCTACACATTTGCATTTTAATAAAGGAGAATCTTCAAACCTGCTGACACCTGCACTTAGGCATCACTATGCTGTCCGAGGTTATAAGGAAAATGTGCTCATGATTTTTACCACCAGTAAGTTATCTTCTCTCGAAATCACTTCATTTACACCTATTTATTATTATAAATTATTTATTATAAAATCACCACTATTTCCCAGTGACAAAATTTAAAGAACTCAACTGAAATGTACTATGATTTAAAACCTTAAAGTTCTAAGATTCTACACTGTGTGTGTCTGTGCGTGCCTGTACACATGCATGTGGAGGCAGAGGAAGCTACATTTGTTAAAAAAGCTGGACAATGAGCAGCCAGGAGGGTGGGACAGCATCTACTTACCAGTGGCTCTGAGCTATGCTCAATGCTCCTGTGAACCAGTGATCAGTGAGGACTAGCAAGGCAGAGACATTGCAGACTCCTGCTAACTCCAGTCTTTCTGCGGGAGAACAGAAAGTGCATTACACCCAGGACAGAACTATCAGGGGACCAGAAAGAAATGGGCTCAGAGTAAAGTTAATTCATCACCCTGGAATGGTGGGTGACGGACACAGTAATCTTGTCCTTTCTGTTTTAAGACATCCCCTTCCAGCACAAGCCTAGACTGGCACAATAAAATACACACATCCTGTAACACAACCTGGTCACTTTCTACCAGTGTGACCCTTCACTAGATAAAAAATCTGCTCTCTTTAACTGATCAAACACTTTTCATTCAAAAAGAGGGGGAACATTTATTAATTTATTTTTATGAGCATTGGTGTTTTGCCTAAATTCACGTCTCTGTGAAGACATCAGGTCCCCTGGAACTGGAGTCACAGATAGTCATGAGCCACCATGAAGGTGCTGTTAATCGAACCCAGGTTCTCGGTGAGAGCAGTCAGAGCTCTAATCACTGACCAATCTCCCCAGGCCAAAGGGAAAACATTCCAAGGACTGAAGCTGGGCACAAGGGTGTTTATCTACAATGGAGGGAAAGTGGGAGGCCAAGGTAGGAGGACTGCCATGATCTGGGAGCCAGCCTGAGCTACACAGTACATCTAGGCCAACCTGGGACCAGCATAAAGTCCCATCTCAAGATGGAGGGAGAAAGAGAGGTCAAGGGGGAATAGAATAGAGAGAAGAGAAGAGGAAAACAGAATGATGGAGTTATTGACCAGTAAGCAGGACTGAAACTTTGGGCTTATTTTTAAAATATGAAAGTGATTGAATATTTATGTTACATCAAAATTGTAGAGCTGTCTTTACGCATGCAAACACCGAGAAGATCGTGGATGAGTGTAGGTGTACACTGTAATGGACCGCCACTTTTTCCCTAGCAGACAACTGTCTTCTCTCACACTGGTCTTACTGCTATTTTTTTCTAAGAAAAAAGTTAGTGTGATCTCATTATTTTAAGTTTTCTCAAATGCATTTTCAAAGGTTGGTTTCATGTCAGCCACCTGATAGCACTACCCTTCAGCTGACCCTTCTCTAGTGACACTAACAAAGAAAGTGTTTGCATCTGCGAGGAAACCCATGAGGCTCGAGGACGGTCTGTTAAATGGAAGCTGCACTCTGCTGCATGTTTAACCTGAACTGCAGTGTTTCAGCCTAAGCAGTGTTCACAGAGGCTATTTTCACCTGACATGCTGTGCTCCATCCCTGTCCCTCGAATCCATTCACCAGATCACACCTTAGCATGCTACAAACTCAACACTGTCCCTTGGAACTTTTCAACGGTTCCATGGAGATCCTGCTATCTCCTGAGTGGCTTGGTCTCCAGCCTCCCAGGCTACTCTGCCCTGTTCTCAGATCCCCTCTGCCTATGGCTTTCTCAGCTCCCTCTGTGGGACTGATCCCTCCACCATGTCAGTCCTTCATATCAGAGATGGCATCATAGCTCCACCCCAAGAGACATCATGCTGCCCTCCATCTCTAAGTCCTCCATATTTTGCTTATGATACTCTCGAAAGCCTTCTCTGAAAGCCTTCATGAGCTACACTGACTGCTACATGCTGCATAGGAGACAACACAGCTGTGTAAACCATAAACCTGGATGGTCAAAGAGGGAGAGGTCTCACTGTGGTCACTCTCTTCTCACAGGCTCTTCAAGTCTTTCAGGTGTAGTAACTGCCTAAGCTCAATGTTTTCAACAACTTTGTGTGCAAGCCCATCTCTTATTACTGCACTCCCACAGCCCCCACACTATAAACCTCTGCTTGCTCTTAATGGACTCTAGAAGGATAGTAGACTCCGTCAGCTGGGCATAGTGGTGCGCACCTTTAATCCCTGCACTTGGGAAACAGGTGAATCGCTGATCTTCAGAGTGAGTTCCAGGACAACCAGAGTTACATAATACACAAACCATCTCAAAAAAGAACACATACACCAAAAAAAACCCCACAAAACAAAACACATCACCGTGTCATTGTTTTCCTTAAATATCAATATAAATCCATACTGATAAAACCAGGATAGGAAATATGGATGGATCCAAAAGACCTAGAAACATACATGTAAATGATGTAGCATAAAAACTTAATGCAAGGACAGTATTGTGGCTCATGACACAGCACTTACAAAGCCCTGGGTTAAAGTCCCAGAAGTGTAACACTACAAAACAAAAACTTAGGAGGAAAGTGTGTGGTCATTATCTATTAACTGTGCTAGGTACTTAACCCACACTAGCCCCTTTCATCTAAAACAAACTACACTTCATATGGCCATGTGCAGCAGACACGCCTGTATCCTAGCATTCAGGAGGCAGGCGGGGAGGACTGTGGCAAGTTCCAAACAGAGCTTGAATTTAGATAGTTAGAACCCTGGCTCAGAAAGTCAAAGGCAGGGGCTACAGCTCAGCAAACAGGGTTTGTCAATACAAAGCAATCTCTAGTTACTCCATGCTGGGAATCTTAGGAGGAACATGACTTGTCCCAAGCACTTAGCTGAGAGACAATTTTCTGTCAGATTATCATATAAACACCACACTAGGATCTTCAGAACTGTCCCTGGGGATACACTGGCTGCTGACACAGGGTCTTGGGTTCAATCACAGTACAAATAGATAGGTAAGTACGTAGGTAGATAAATAACAGACACGTGTATGCAGACTTGAGAGCTACCCATGATGCCCTGCTATACCACATTAGCACATCTTCTCACATTGCTGTGTAGGCATGATACAGACCCCAAGTAGCAGAAATTAGTGCTCACGTTTACCATTGTAGGCAGTTGGTAATTAACATCTATATGCGAAATACAAGACAGGCTAGGGTATTTTTTTTTTTATTTTTTGAGTTAACGTAACTGTGCTAATTAGGGTTTCTATTGCTGAAACAAAACACCATGACCAAAAAAGCAAGATGGGGGGGGGTGGTTTCTTACACTTCAACACTGCTGTTCACCACTGAAGGAAGTCAGGACAGGGACTCAAACAGGGCAGGATCCCGAAGATGCAGAGGCCATGGAGGGGAGTTGCTTGCTGGCTTGCTTCTCCTGGCTTGCTCAGCCACCTTCTTACAGAACGCAGGACTGCCAACCCAGGGATGGCACCACCCACCATGGCCTGTGCCCTCCCTCAATGGTCACTAAATGAGAAGATATTACAGCTGAATCTCATGGAGGCATTTCCTCAGCTGAGGCTCCTTGCTCTGATAACTCTAGTTCGCGTCAAGCTGACACACAAAACCAGCCAGTACAGTACCCTGGTGTCTAAGTCACTGTTCTATTGCTGTGAAGACACCATGACCCAGGCAACTGACTTACAATTTCAGAAATGTAGCTCATTATCCCCTGGTGGGAAGCAAGGCAGCAGGCACAATGCTGGAGAAGTACATCAGATATATCCTGATCCTCGGCCGAGGGAGACATGGTCTTGGCATGGGCTTCTGAACCTCAAATCCTACGACCCTCAGTGACACACTGCCTTCAACAAGGCCACATCTCCTAATTCTTTCAAATACTGACATCCCTGGTGACTAGCATTCAATGAGTTATAGGGGCCATTCTTATTAAAACTGCCACATTCCACTCCCTGGTCCCCGTAAGTTGTAGCATATCATACTGCAAAAATGCATTCAGTCCAGTTTCAAAAGTTCCCAAAGTCTCAGTCAAAAGACTGAAGTTCAAAGTCTCTGAGACTCATGGCAATCTCTTAAGTGTGTCTTGAAATCTCCTCTGCCAACACCCTTAATCCAAAACTCCTCAATTTAGCTTCAGGCACATTTTCAGAACTAACATTCTTTGGATGACTAACATTCAAATATATGAGCTGATGGGGGTCATTCTTATTCAAACCATCATGCCTAATCAACTCAAGGGAGGACATGGTTCTTAGAAGAAACTACCCTTCTATGATCATATTCTCTCAGACGGGCAGTTGGCTGCAGCCGTCCCTCACAAAGGGTGAAAGCTGTTTCTGCCCCATTACATTAGTTATGAAAGGTTAAAATACTGTGTTCAAAAACCTAAATGGAAAAAATGGAAAGCTTTGAAAGACTCAGGACTGTTACCCTGTCTCAGAAGTGAACTAGACTTCTGTGAGGGCAAACGCCAGCCTTTATGGTTCCTTGGGAAACATTCTCTGCTTTCTTCAGGGCTTCGTTCACATTAATCAAACAAGACCTGGTTGGATCACTGTTGGGCTCAGGAGAATGCTATGGGAAGAAACGTGGACCACATCTGGCATCCCGCAGAAAGCCAATCAGATGGTCCCATTAAAGTTCTCTCCTGGCCGGGCGATGGTGGCGCACGCCTTTAATCCCAGCACTCGGGAGGCAGAGGCAGGCGGATCTCTGTGAGTTCGAGACCAGCCTGGTCCACAGAGCTAGTTCCAGGACAGGCTCCAAAGCCACAGAGAAACCCTGTCTCGAAAAACCAAAAAAAAAAAAAAAGTTCTCTCCTGTGATTTACGAACAGCACAGGCCCTGGCCTCAGGTCCGAGCTCCTTTCCGCTCACCTGCCTTGTGCCTAGGATACATTGGGCCTCCTGGCCACCTCCTGGAGAATCCAGTTCACATGCACTGTGCTCTTGGACCTATTATGTAACTGTGGTTGAAGATATTTTTCACCAGACTCTTTAAACAAAGGTCCACGTGACACGTTTCTGCTTGGGTTTAGTTCCAGGAAATGTTTGGTTTCTGCACATGTTTACGTGCTTTCTGGTTGTCAACACACAAACTATGCAATTCTCTGCTTTCCTTTACTCACTTTAGCGACTAGAAAGCACAAAGTCAAGTATGTTCACCAACTCTGCCCAACAGAACGCCTAATCCTCCAACTTTCCTTTAATGGAAGGCTGAAAACTTATTTTTTATAAACTCATTTTACCTTTTGGCCTGAAATGTGCAAGTACCACCCTGGCCTGTGAGTTCCAGAATAAATGGACAGAGGAGAGCATGGGAGTGTGCTTTTCACTGAGAGAGAGTAACGAAGAACTTAATTGTTATCCAAAAGAAC